GAGAAAACTTTATATTTTATATATTGTTTTCAGTAATCAATTTCTGTTCGGGTCCGGAAAATTTGAACGATCTTGCAACCAACATAAAAAAATTATGAAATAAACATAAATTATGCATCTTTCATTCTGGAATTAATACAAAGGGATTTAAATTGATAGTTATTAGACGAGCATCAGGACGTGTTTGTTGTGTAAATATAAGGTAGTGACAGTACTTATTTCTATTGTATTTTAAGTAAAGGTTTTTAATAATAGTTCAGTACAATCTCCAGCATTTGAGAGATAACTGAACAACCAAGTATTTTTCCTTATTATTTGATTCTCTATCTATTGAGAGATAACTGAACTTCGAAGTATTTTTTCTTAATTTTTTCTCCATCTATTGAGAGATAACTGAACTTCCAAGTATTTTTTCTTAATTTTTCTCCATCTATTGAAAGATAACTAAAGTTCCAAGTATTTTTTCTTCATCTATTGAGAGATAACTGAACCTCCAAGTACTTTTTCTTCATCTAAATAGAGATAACTGGGCTTCCAAGTATTTTTTCTCCATCTATTTAGAGATAACTGAACTTCCAAGTAGTTTTTCTCCGTCTATTGAGAGATAACTGGACATCCAAGTATTTTTCATTATTATCTGTTTCTCCATCTATTGAGAGATAACCGAACTTCCAATTATTTTTTCTCCATCTATTGAGAGGTAATTGAACTTCCAAATATTTTTCCTTATTATTTGTTTCTCCATCTATTGAGAGATAAATGAACTTTCAAGTATTTTTTTTTAATCGCGAGAAAGATAGGAACTTTTTGTGGTATTCTCTGGTGCTGGATGAGTCTACTGATCTCTCGAATACGTCACAACTTCTCGTGTTCATTCGTGGTGTTAATCTGGACTTTCAGATCACAGAAAAGTTGGCATCCATTTGCAGCATGCACGGACCAACAACTCGAGAAGACATTTTCATGGAAGTGCAGAACTTTGCAAGGCTATAACCTTCAGTGGAATCAGCTTCGATGTGTTACAGTTGATGGAGGAAAAAACATGGCTGGAGTGAGGAGGGGTCTAGTGGGGCAGATACGAACTAAGTTGGAAGATCTTCAACTCCCGGGCGCTCTGCTTATACACTGCATCATACATCAGCAAGCACTCTGTGGGAAAGAATTGTTTTATTGTTTATTTTTGAATTTCGCGCAAAGCTACACGAGGGCTATCTGCGCTAGCTTTCCCTAATTTAGCAGTGTAAGACTAGAGGGAAGGCAGTTAGTCATCATCACCGACCGCCAACTCTTGGGCTACTCTTTTACCAACGAATAATGGGATTGACGGTCACATTATAACGCCCCCACGGCTGAAAGGGCGAGCACGTTTGGTGTGACGTGGATTCGAACCCGCGACCCTCAGATTGCGAGTCGAGTGAATTCCATTCGGTGCCATGCACTTAATCACTGCCAGTTCCAGGCTTTTCTTGAAGAAATTGATTCTGAAATCTATGACTTGTCTTATCATACAGCAGTGAGATGGCTCAGCTGCGGTAAAGTCCTGTTTCGTTTTTATAAGCTCTGAAGAGAAATAGATATTTTTCTCACCAAAAAAGGATAGAGCTGATCCACTTCTGTCAGATCCTACCTGGCTGTCAAAGTTGTCATTTTTGGTTGACATCACATCCCACATGAATGAATTGAACTTGAAACTTCAGGGAAAGGATAACCTTATCTGTGATCTCTACATAATCGTCAAAGGACTTCGGAGAAAGCTATCATTGTTTGAAGCACAACTGGAAGGAGGAAACTTCTCTCATTTTCAGTGTTTCAAAGAGTTTCGCGCTGGAATCGCAGAATATATCAACCTCGAGTTTCCGAAGAAGATTATTAGTGACTTAAATAAGCATTTTTTGGAGAGATTTTTAGATCTCGACAGAATTGAAGTGACATTCTTCTCTTCCAGAATCCGTTTGATTGTAACCTTGATGACGTGCCAGTCGAACTACAGTTGGAGCTCATTGATTTGCAAGCAAATGACTTGTTGAAAGAGAAGCACAGAGAAGGAAACTTATTGAATTTTATCGCTGCTTACCTGATGATGAGTTTTCAAAGTTGAAGAAATTTGCCTCTGGTATGGCATAGTGTTTGGAACAACTTATGTCTGTGAGCAAACATTTTCAAAAATGAAGTATGTGAAGTCAGCTCATCGAACGAGGTTGACTGATGAACATTTGAAAGCAATTCTCTTGGTTGAATGCAGCAATTTCAAAGCAAACATTGATGATATCTTAAAAGCTAAACGCCATTTTCACAAATCTCACTAACCTTTTTTTGCTGCTTAGTTTGTGAGATTCGGATATGTGCGCACTGGGTGTGATATAACTATCTTATTGCTAACGTCGCCTTCTTTGATAACTTTTTGGTAAATAAACTTGTTTGTTGTCTTTATTTTTGTGTATTCACTGTATTGTATTGAACAAAATGGTTATGTGGCCCGCGCTCGTCATTCTCTCAGTTATCTGGCCCGCTGTGAAAAAAGTTTGGTGACCCCTGCTCTAAAACAACAAACCTTAAAAGAAATGAAACAAGACCAAAGTTTTAGCTTAGGGAACCAATAAGGTTTCTGTTAACATTCTGCATTGTCACTATATTCAACAGAAAGTTTACCAATAAGGTTTCTGTTAACATTCTGCATTGTCACTATATTTAACAGAAAGTTTACCATAAAGCGCATCCAATCAACTACATTAGGTTTAGGGAAAGATGGTTTCATTAATCCTGAGAATTTCCATTTAGATCACATCTTATTCAATCTATACATTCACTGTTTTTCATTCATTTTTTTTTTCAGAGTTTACGTTTAGAATTGATTTATAAAAGTTAATAAATGAATTAATCTTAAAATGCATTTTAAAGATAATATATTTCTATTATTTCTATGTCCACTTAGATATAGAAAAATGCTTTAAGCTATCCAGCGTTTAAAATAAGTTTTTTTTTCATGTTTGTTTGTTTTAGAACAAAGCCACACTGGTCTATCTGCTGTATCCACCGCGGGAAATCAAACCTCTGATTTTAGCATTGTAAGTCCATAAACTTACCGCTGTGCCACCGAAGGACTTTTTTTTAAATCATACTCCATACCATCCCTGATGAAGTCTATAAAACAAAGCTAAATTGAAATTATTGCCACAGAGATGAAAGCAGATTATACAGCCTTCCGATGGCTCGGCATTAATCTGGAAGGCTTATAACGCTAAAATTCGGGATTTGATCCATGCAGTGGGTATGGCATAGGCAGCCTACTGTGTAGGTTTATACTCAAATAACAACAAACAGAATACATACTATGAAAACCACAATTATTATATATATCAGTGTTTCTCAACATTTTTTTGCTCGTGGCTCCCTTTTGAGTTTGATTCATCTCTTGGCCCCATTCTTCGTAGACGCTGTTACTTAGGAAAAGAGTTACTTTATTTCAACACTGTTGATTTATAATATTATAATAATATTTTTACAATACTGTATTGTTTTTGAATGTTTTGTTTATAACATACTGTTTATTTATACAAGTAAAAAATATTCTGTTAATCATTGACATTTTATTCAGTGTGATCCTTGGGCCTGATGAACACTTGAAAGTTTTTGAATGTGAGTGTGGTCAGTGATAAGTGAAGATCACTTCTCTTCACAACATCAAGGCAGTTACGTATTTTTGATAGCAAATAAGTCACCCGACTAAAACCAGATTCAACCATATAAGATGTGGGAAAAGTGATAAAATACAACTTTACCTTCTCCCA